GGGAACCGAGCCACGACAAGTACCGGCGAGAGATGGGTTGGGGTTCGCCTTCCCAACCGAAGAGATACACCTCTACGTGGTGGTTGGGACAAGTAAGAGATTTAATCTCTGAAACGAAGTATCTCTATTTTCTTTTTTATTTTTTTTTTGTATAATATTTAATAACGATAAATAAAGTTTATTAAATAAATGTATATTTTGTTGTAATAAATATCAGATATATTTAAATAATAAAAATGAAATAAAATTTGCTTGAAAAATATTTAATATGAAAGTATTTAATTTTACATATCTGTTAAAATTTTTTTATTCTATATTGTGCGTGCCGAAAGTATTTAGACATCGATTTTTCAGCGGAAATAAAGCCGAAATCTAATATATGTAAATTAACGTTAATTGCCACAATTTTTGTCTTATAAATTCTATATTATCATAATTTTTGAAAAATCTAAATTCCGTGATTAAAATTTATGAATTCTGAATTTTACATTATTCTGCACCAATTTTATACGTAGCCTATTCTCCGGATTATTTCGTATATCAAACATATCAAACAAAAATTTTAGCTCATATTTTTATTTTCTATGTCGGAACCTTATAAATGTGATATTTCTGTGCTATACAACTTTCTGCGACAATTCCGTGCTATCTTTGATACATTCTTGCGTTTACAGTCTGATTCGTGGAATGCAGAAAATCATGCAGCATTATATGATTGGCCCACTACGTATACGTATAAGTTTTTTAAATCAATTTATTAAGAAAAATTTATCAATAAAAACTATGTATTTTTAAAATGTTATAATTCCCATTTTAGTAAAGCAAATTTCGATTCTACGTATAACTTGCGAATGATACGTAAATCTTAGTAAGTCTCTATAACGATAATTTATGATAATTAGTGCTCGGCAAAATCAAACAAAAATTTGACAGTGATTAAGCCGGACATCAAATGATAACATACCAACCAATACTATATATTCAGTTTTGGTTAACCTGCGATCGTTTGATGTCCGATTTACAAGTATTTGATTGTCAAATTTTTGTTTGATTGTGTCGAGCACTAATGATAATCGTGTTAAATAATACTATTAAATTTCCTTCTATATATAGTAAAATTTGATTGATTCTGTAACTTGCGATATAAAAATAGCGTGGTTTTAAACTATGCGACCATATCTAATATATATAAATTTTAGTAGTTCTCTATAACTTAATTTATTAATTTACAAGTTTAGCCAACCACGTTATTTGCAAGTATTAATCCATAAAATCAAATTTTTTTGCACAAACCAAAATTTACGTCCTTAATTACTTGTATCACTCACACAAATAAGTGCAAAAATTTAAACCGGTAAAAAATTATCCCTCTATTACTATATATTAAGTTTTATGTTTCTAATCTTTACAATTTCATCTTTTCGGGACATAATCCGTTATTAGTTATATTTACAATAGTATAACGTCTATTATATCCATAGTTGATTGTATCTAATACATGCAGTATACAGTATCTACGTACATGGAAGTTCATTTTGTTTCCAGATTTTAATTGAACTAAAGGAGAAATTAAAAATGTAATTTATACATGCTATTTCAAAATCTAACCAGTTTTATTTAAGAAGTCAAATCACCACCCATACTTGAGTCTCATAGCCATGTGAGATCACACAAGGTAACGATAGAGAAATTAACATTTATGAAAGTTTTAAAATTATTTTATTACTATTACCAAAAATATTTACCATATCAGTTGTTGATTAGGTAAAGCATCAACTTGTACTTGCTGCAATTCTCTAGCAATCCTTTCGAAAGCTTGATAAGTTGATCCATTAGTAGTTGTAATTGCTAAAGAATATCTATCACTCACACGGCTATCATCAAAAACTAATTCAGAAAATGTTGAATTATAAGTACAACTACTATTCCTATCACTTGAATTACTTCCACCTATATCACTGCTATCACTAATTATAGCTATTGGCAATATATTAACTCCCCTCTGACGTCTTATTGGTAAAGTTACAAACATTGGCATCTCTCGATCATCGATTGAAGATGAAATGTTTACAGATGATTGAAATTTCTCGATCCACGATACACAATCATCTCGATTAGTTACTTGAAATATAAATTGATAACCGGTTGATATAAGAACTCTGAGAACGTTACATCGTTTAGTGTAGTCAATAGCTAAATTTATTTTTGCGCGATCCATACCAAATTCTCTTATTGGTACTGCACGCTATTGATTAACGTGAGCATTAAATTTATGCAATAATTAATTAGTATTTAATTAATTATTGGTAGTTGTAGTAACATTAATAAGAATTGCTGACTTACATGGATGTCAAGTGGATCATTTTTATAAATTCGTAACAGCGTACCCCATAAATATAGATAAACTTTTCTGTATAAAAATTAATAATAATTAATAAAAATTAATAATAATTAGCAAAAATTAATAATAATTAGCAAAAGTCAAAGATGTTCAAAAAGTTTTAAAGTACTGTATATATACCTCCACGTTCTACGCTTTGCCTTAACACCATGTGATATCATTTCATCCTTTTTAGTAACATAACCAGCTTTAAATACACTACAAGAATAAGATGGTAAAATTTCACAACCTTCTTCTTCACGTATAGTTATGTAATTTAATCCTTGTTTATGTTTAACCACATCGAAATATGAAGGCAATTCATTATTATCCTTCTCATGCGTTGTATTATTATTTTTATTATTATTATTTTTAGAACAGTTCACGTGTGATGTAATGTGGCGATCTTCTTCCATAATTGTTAAAAGATAATCGGTATATGATAAATAATTTTTAAATTTTATGACCAATCTCACCGTTTTTTCCCTTTCCGTTGTAATAAAAAGTCTTAGAATATATTTAATACATATTATTAGAACCATTCGATATGATTCGTTTATAACACCGATGGTTTTAAAAATTTGTTCGTCTAATGTTAAAAATTTCTCTAAATTAATATCGTGTTGTTGAATTGTTGAAAAATATATTTGATGATATAAGAATGACTTTAATGTCATACCTTTTTACGAAAAAAAACAAAAAGTTAAAAAAATCGAATAAAATTATAGCGAAATGATATTTTCAAAATTACCCTTACCAATTTTGATGTGCATTCTATTTTTTAATAAAATTTTTAAATTATAATAATTATAAATATAAAAAATTATTTTATATTTTAGTTTTGAAAATTCATATAGAGCTCAAAAGTGATTGAATCATTTTATTTTAATCGGAAATAATAAATCACAAAAGGAGTATATTTTTATATTATAAACTTCCACTTTATATCAAAATTTTATTATTTAGGAGAAAAGTTAGGAAGTTGGTTTTATAAATTTTCTCATGTACAATTTATATGTTTCAATGGTGTAACGAAAAAAAAATAAAATAAAATTTATAATCTTCTTGCGGAAATAACGGTAAAATCACACGGCAATACCATATGACGAATGAGGATTAAGATGCATAAAATTTCTTTATGTAACTTTTATTTTTCCATGCCACGATTTTTAAAGAATCAGGTTTCAATTTTAGACTGCACTCTCCACCTACAAATCGGTATTAAAAAGTAAAAGATATTCCTCATTAAGGATATATTTGTATTTTTAAATCAAAATTTTTCCTTAATTAGCACGGCTTCAATATCTGATATTGCATGTAATTCCTTGAACAATGAATGCGATATAAAAATAACAAAATTGACTTAACAAGGAATTTTTTATTGGTAAGCCTCAAAAATCAATCAGCTAAATTTATACTTAAATCCTTACGTAGAAACGCACGCACGTACGTACATATGTACATACGTACTTGATTGATACCTACTGTACATACGCGCATACACCCAAGATACAATATAAATGCTAGTATAACAACGCCAAGATTGTTAAAAATAGCAGAAATTATATGTTTCAAATTATAAGCAAAAAATTCTTAATTCCTATAACAGGCACTGTAATGTGCTATAATAGCTCAATTTTAATAAAGTAAAAGGTACATCAAATTAAAAAATTTCGTCTGATCAAAAAATTTTAATTACTAAATTTCATTAAGATGAAAGTCCAAGAGCATGTATTATCATATACGCATTAGCAGAATATTAATTAATTCCAAACAATTGATTTATATCAGCAAACCATACGAATGCCTTTTCTATGATGCTAATGCATGCATATCATTTGATCGGCTTAACGCTAATGTAGATCTCTCGATAAATGCGCATTCACTTTCCTCGGCAAATGTCACTAAACTTGGGATTAATAACAATTATGCACCGACAACTTTTCAGTAAACTTGGACTTTCAATAAACTTGGAACTAATAGCTCATTATTACAAATCATGTTAAAATAGCGATTATAAGAAGCTATATTATTGTTTTCCTTTAATTAATTTACGAAACAAATAAAAATATTTATTAAACAAATGGTCTATTTTTATGTTGATAATTATATCTCCATGGTTTGTGTCGATCACGTAATTCGTCGATTACACCTGGGGGTAGTGGATAATCTTTTGAAATTGACCATGTCGTTTCACTTGCAAGTTCTTTTGAGGTGTCCCATGGTGATTCTAACAAATATAATTACCAGTTTAAAACAACTTCCCTTTTTCATAAAATTAAAATAAATTAAATAAAGATATAAATTAAACTAACTTTCTTGTTTATATTCTGACTTTTCTGGTCTTGGTGGAAAAGGAATGACGACATCATCCGTTCCACAAACTACACGTCGCCATCTCATCGTACCTTGTCCATCAGTATCGATTTTTTTCCATTTAACTCTAACACGCCTCCTAATGTTTATTTTTTTCCCCAAAAAAAATACTTTAATGTCTAATAAAATAAACCTTTGATTTTTCTTTTTAAAAAAAAGGCAACTTACTTTTCTTTATCTGGAATAGAATTACTACAGAAAGAAATTTTCTCGTACTGTATATAGAAACATCATATCAAAATTTCCAATGTATATAACGTGAACACTTACTCCTTCAAATCATCGGGAAATATATGCATAACGTTTGATACGTGGATCGCTTTCAGAGTTGGTCTTAACCACAATCCACCTTTTTTTTCAGACTCACTTGGAGAATTCAAGTTCTCATTTGGAGATGTAATTCTACCCTAATTATGTAAAATGTTATCAAATAACGAACCATAAAAAAAAAGAGTATGGAAATAAATTCGGATTGCATTACCATTTTTACTCCTTCGACCCAAACTCTATTTGTAAACATATCTATCGATTTAATCATCCCTACTTGATGTTTAGCGTCACCTGCGATAACTTTCACCTACATTTCATTATATTCAACAATCCTTAAAACAATATTACTAATAAACTTGTTATACGTAGTTACCGTATCACCTTCTAAAATTTTCCACCTTTTAATTCGGTCTTTTGGATGAACCCATTTTTCTCGTGGTTTAAGTTTAGTTGACACACGGTTTTCAAATTTTGACCATACTTGTCGAAACATATGAAGAGGTTTATCCGAATTTTTCGACATTATTATTTTGACAATAAAACGTTAGTTAAAACAGTAATAGCTGAAATCGATTTTTTTTTTTGTTAAAGTTTTTGATTATCGTTATCAAATTAAAACTGGTTTAACAGAGCTTTTCCGGAATCGGTATTACAATCAGGAATGTACCAAATTAGGAACTTAGTGATACGAGGGCCGACCTTGACTAAGGATTAAATAAATTATTATCGTTATTATCGGTTAATATTGGATATCAATAAAGTTAATTATAAAAAAAAATCATTGCACAATAATAAAACGATGACGCGAAAGGCCAGTAGAAACCAAGCAAATTGTTTTTAGTGAGTTTTTTTAAAATTTTAAATCAGAATATCTCAACAAATAATAAACCAAACTTAATAAAAATTTTTTTATTTTAATTCTATAACTACGTAGAATTAAAATAAAAAATTTTTTATTAAGTTTGGTTTAATGTTGTATTTCAAAGTTTTAAAAAAATTTATTTAGAAACAATTTGCTTGGTTTCTACTGGCACCCCCCATATGATTTATGTGATTTTCAACATTTGTTTATTGAATTCTGAATAATTAGGGAATCGGATTTCTAATGTTTACTATTCAATCTCCATTCCATGGGTATATGGAAATCATCGTTCACGCTTTTTTGAAAAGATAAAATACAATGTTTTTGCACAGAATATAAATTAAAAAATCCTAGCTTCAAAAGTTTATCGAAAAAAAACCAAATAACAAAAAAATCACATTTATATTAACCCGGGCTCGTGCCTGTGCCTAACAAAAAATCTAGGCATGGGCATGGTTCAGGCATGGGCACGAGCACAAAAAACTCGGCATGGGCACAAGCACAGAAATTGGATATTTATTATTTAATTGTGTCTGGCACTTCGCCCGGCACATTTGCCTAGCATTTTGTGCCTATGCCTTTAATAATGCTTGGCACTTTTGTGCCTATAGGCACAGGTACGGCATAAGGCACGTTCTGGTGCCAATGTACCGTTGCAGACCCCTAATTACTTCTTATTCTTTCATGCATTTCTATTGACTAAAGAAATTTAACTATACATCGGCCGGGCCGGCCCACAAAGATACGGATGGGTAGGGATATTATTGGTTTTACAAAAAGCCAGCTTTAACCATAGATAGGGTTGTTAATGGAGTAGAATACTCCAGAGCAGCCCTGAAGTGAGCCCAACCCAAGTTGAAGTGAGTTGATATAAGTACTTTTAAGAGAAATGAGACTTTGGACTTTTAATTCTATAGTTTATTTTTATTGTCTGAAGCGTAGCGAGGGCTTACTATGGAGTCGCAATTCCGCTCACGTGATATCGAGCCAATTAGCGTTTAAAACATACAAACTATTATATAGTGAAAACCAGGAATACGGACTTTGAATGATACTAATATATGATCAAAAAAACAGTATAATTTATTATTCTAGTCAGGTCGGTTAAAAGCCCGCATTCCGTTATGTAAAGAAGAATTCCTGGTTTTCACTTGGCGGCACCCATATTGATACGTATACTGTAGCTTCGGACACTGATTTCCTAGTTATAATTATACATATGTATATATATACGTATATATAATTAGTCTCAATGTTAGATGTTTGATGTAATTAAAATTAAAGTTGAATCATAGTTTAAGCTATAATTTAAGTCATGTCTTAACTAGCTTAAGCTGTGACTTAGACTATGGTTTAATTTATCTGGCTTAATTATGTCTTTGCTATAATTTTAACCACATTTAATAGCCATAGCTTAAATTATAGTTGCTAAAATGATGTGAACCAAGATAATCAAGCCGATTACATCCCTACCGATGGGTACTTACAATTCGATTGGCGTACAAGATCTGGTGCTAACGTAAAAATTTGAAACTAAGAAACCATCTATTAAAAATGATATCTTGTAAAATTTCACCAATAAGTATAATCCTGATTGTGTAAAAAGAAGAAACTATTAAATTTAATATATATAGAGTATGTCACATGCCAGTTCGGATGATTTCTAAAAGACAATAATTATCATTTTTTTAACCGGTTTCATGGTTAGCTATATCAGATATAGTTAAACTTATTTAAAAATAAATATCGCTACGACCGTAAATATTTTTTAGAAACCAGAATGGATCCCTAAATATATTGGCTAAACAACGTAATAAAAAGTCATGCACTTTATTTTACGTTAGGGACGTGCCAGATATTAGCTGAGATCAGTTTACTATAGAGCTCACTCCCTCCCTCCCTCCTGGGGTGACTGGCATGCCACCCTTGGGCATGCCAGGCATGCATTATTAGTAAAATTACGCGATTGGCTGACAAAAAGTAATGTTGTAATATACAATAAATATTTTGTATTGTGGCATGGGCATGGTATAAATTTTGGCTAATGGCATGCCAACTGGCATGCCAAATTGTTTAACCGTGCCAGTCCCTCCTGAGAAATTTAGTCATTCTGATTGGTTATATGTATATATTTAAACCTGAGATTTTTACGATATCTGATACTTCCTTTAGGGACGCGTCAGATATTAGCTGAGATCAGTTTACTATAGAGCTTACTCCCTCCTGAGAAATTTAGTCATTCTGATTGGTTATATGTATATACCTCCCTCCCACCCTACGATATTAGACACTTCCCTTACTATTAGTGGTACGTTATGCGAAAGTCACATATTAGAAAACTTTTCATCCGGGTAAAAAGTAAAATTTTTTTTATCATCATTTAAAAGATAAGTTATTGTCTTAAAAAATATTCACCTTATAGGTGGATTGAAATTCAAAGTTTAAGATATAATCAATAAATGGTTTTATTAACTATATAAAATTAATATTTGTTAAACACCCTTTTAAGTTAAACAAATATATAAATAAATTAAGTCTATATAAACTAAAAATTCTCAATTATTTTGTTATAATTACACATAGGTTAACTTATATCAAAAATTTGACTATGACTAATATTTTAACGCAAAGTACAAAATTTGTTTACGTACATATATAATTCATTTAAACCTATTTTTCTTTTTCTTTTTTTATTTTTTTTTTTTTGAGAAAAGTTACCAACCTACCTGTAATATAATACTAATTCAACCAAAATAAATTTGAGATACTAAATCAAATCAGGTGCATTATTTGTTGTTGAAACCGGTTGAAGTTTTCTCAATCTATCAACCTCCCTTCGCAAATTTTCGTTTTCTTTCCGTAGATCTTCGTTCTCACGCAATATATGTTGAAACTGGCGATCAATATTATTCTTTAACCGATGAAAAGAAATTTGGTGAATTACAGTGTATATCATTATATGTTAAATATTTGAATAGACAATAATTTTAAATACTAAATAATCGGACATTTCTTTTGACGAACTTATATGAAATTCGGAATTCCCGTTTTGAAACGGTTGTGGATTTTGATATTGTAGTGGTTGTGAAAGTAATCTAGCATCTAAAGAAGTCGTATCTCCACAAAGGCCAAGCAAGTCACTCAACACAGAGCGTTGGAGTTCGTTTTGTCGTAATAATGTATTGATTTGTATAGTCACTGTGTTAGTGTTCATTTGTCCGCGTAAAATGGATGAGGTTGGGGAGACACTAGGAGAGTGGCCCGTGATAGTGGATTGCGGTGAACATGTCACCTCTGATATGTTTCCTAATTTTATGAGAAACCGTAGGTAAAAAATATATATATATATTTTTATAATTAAAAGTTAATAAAGACTTTAAACATTATCATATCGTCAATAAACAAATCACATAACTATTATCTTAATTTCAACGTATTCTATACCTGATGAAGACGTAGAACTATTGGCCTTTGTTTGAACTTGAAATCTTCCTTTTTTAGTGCTCGTAGTAGACTTCTCATCGCTCGTAGGTTTTTCGGTGGTCATGATATCCGTAGATCCACCATCTTCATTGGAATCATTATTTACAATAGTAGTAGCAGCAGCAGCAGGAACACTCGAAGGAGGTATAGTTTTTTGTTGAACTTCAAACCGACTCTTTTTATCTGAAAACATTTAAGCAGGATAGAATGATCAGAGTTCATACAAAGCTTTATTAACAGTAAAATGACCACCAGTGCAATGCAAGTACCATCATATTAAGTGTCACCTGTAATATTTTCGTTGGATTGCTCTCTTTCCAAAGGAGGGCGTTGACTTTCATGTTCAAGTTGCGAGTCGTTTGACACAGTACGTTCTGTTACACTGAACCTTCCTTTTTTAATAGCTTGAGATTGTTCCTCGATAGACAATTGTTGTTGAAATCCACTTGAAGACGGGGAGTGAGGTGGGAATTGGGTAAAAGACGTATCAGATGGTGTGGTTGGTACAGATGATGGTAATTGAGTAACCAATTCAGGGCTAGTATCCTGGTCTACAATCAAAAATCGTGACTTTTTTGGTAACACATTCGTCGCTGTACTTGAATCCTCCTCTGACGTTGGAAGTTCGCCAGCATCAGAAATCATGTTAAACGAGACATGTTTCATTTCCTGACTAGATAATAATATCTCATCCGTCTCATGAAAATCCCATGTATCTTCCCCCTTGGTATAAGTTATGGGTTTTTGCTGAACTCCTATGTGATTATTTATGTAAAATTAATCATATGGGTTTGAATTAACAGGAGGAAACGTCGATGTTACACGACTGATCCTTCACCCGGCGTGCAACATATAAAAAAAAATTATTTTACAATACCAGACAGTACATGTTATGATTATAATCCCACACCATTTTTATTATAATAAAATGGTGCGGGATTATAATCATAGCATGTACTGGCGGAATGATCTGGTATTGTAAAATAATTTTTTTTATATGTTGCACGCCGGGTGAAGGATCATTCGTGTAACATCGACGTTGTATTGCCGAAATATATATTGAAAATTACTTTTATGTGGTCTTTTTTCCAGTGCTGGTAAGTTTTGTAATATCTTCGTTACCAAATAATCTTTTCTTTTAGCTAATCTGAAAAATTGATGATTTAACAACTTTTCAGCGGATAGCCTAATAAATTAAAAATGTTAGTGATTCTATTTGAAATATTATAAAACCTAAAAAACATTGCTAAATGTATTAAAATATATTAACCGTTTCGACGGATCTTTTTGCAAACTCTGATCAATCATTTCCTTAAAAGCTTTCGAATATTTATGCTTAGTGGAATCTCTGTCCAGAGTCGGCGGATCATTTGAAAGAGTCACCATAATAACCTATTACAGGAAATTATATAATATATAGATATAAACAAGGTATTGTATTGTTATAAATTACAATAACAATAAAAAAAAAAAACCTTTATTGGTGAATATTTAGCAAATGGTGCGTTTCCAGTTGCTAATTCAATCGATGTTATCCCAAATGACCAAATATCGGCTTTGTAGTCATAATCGGCATGTTTCATCACTTCAGGCGCCATCCAACATGGCTAATTAGATTTATGGCAGGTTTATGTAAAATAAGTTTTTTTTTCTCAATTTAATGTCACTCAATGCATTAATTTAGATGGTGATGCCATCCAACATACCGTGCCGACGAAAGTTCTCCGAAATCCTCTTCGATCACCATTCTCTGTAAGAGAGGATGATACACCGAAATCAGCAAGTGAAACGGTTCCGTCTTCATCTACAAGCAAATTCCCAGCTTTAACGTCTCTATTGGTTGGATTTAAAATATTTGAAAATTCAAGAAAAGATATATATTTATGTGGTTAATGATTGATAATTTACCTATGAATATGACCAGTTTTGTGTAAATAATCTAATCCTTGAAGTGCCTGCTTCAATATAGTAGCAATAGCTGCTTCCTCAAAGCCATCTGGATATGCAGTCTTCATGATATCCGAGCAAGAACCTGATAATTAGGTGAATATCTTTCAACATGTTCACATGATGTTGATAACGGAAATCCGATATAATGAAATTTATTCATTTAATTAAGCTGACATACCAGCTGACATGTATGGTGTTACGATATATAAATTAGACTCGTTTACAAATGAACCATAGACACGCAATACATTAGGATGTTTGGATAGCGACATCAACTGCGTTTCTCTCTAGTTAGTTATAAAATATTTATAAAATATTTATAAAAATAAGTAACAAAGAATATAACACATTATAACACGGAAATCAAGACCAAATAAATATATTATTTAGATACCCTCACTTCATCAATTTGATTTCGCTCAAAAAAATCCAAATTAATCATTTTGACTGCAACCTTTTTGCCCGAAGGCTTATATATGGCACTATATACTCTTGCAGACGCACCATAACCTATGCAATATAATTAAAATAATAATTACAACTTAAACGCTTCAAAAAGCTTACAAAGAAAAAAAATCCATCCATATGCAACAAAATTGAACATTTATATTCGAGTGGCTTGGTTGTATGCCAACGTCGTGCATAATTGAACGTATAATAAATATTTTTAACAATTTGACAATTGTACCTATGGGATTTTCTAGGTTTATATCATAGTCTTCAATAGAACTTGAAAAACTTTGATCATCTGTAGAGTTGCCCACTAACGTTGATCCAGAGGAAAGACTTCTTTTTGGTCCTTGTGACGTAGACTTTTCCATTCTGTTGCAGTTTTCGAAGTTTACTTCCGACTCAAAGGTTGTTTCGGAACAAAGTAAAATGTACCGACAAAGAGCGGCGAAGCAAATTTAAAAACGTTCCACTTTGTCACTTTATCGTTTTGTAAACCAGCTTGAAGAGCACATATGAATTCCGGCGTGTATTTTAGTGTCAATAAATAGCATTCAGCAATTTCAAAATGACGCACACAACCAGCCAGTACATCATATAAATATTTTGATTTTTGATTTTTAAGGGAATATTTTGTTTGATAGCGCCATTGCACATGAGTTATGTCATAGCTACACAATATAATGGCGCTACTAAACTATTTCCTTTTTAAAATATCCGCTTATGATATTCTGTTGATTCTCTGTTGTTATTAAGTATTACAAAAATTCTGGCAAAATTAGATTGGTTTAAGTAATCAAAATTAATTTCAATTTCCATTGCAATTGCTATTAACGTTAACATTAACATCGATTCCCATATCTGATACGTATCAGCATTTTTACATTATATAAACGATTAACAATATATTGTATAAACTCCCCTTTCAAAGTGCTAATTTATTCATTGGTGTTATATGCATTTATCTGTTATACGTATGATAAAGCTTAGTTTACTATCGCCATTATTTCAACTATTATAACTTCGACTAGACATCAAACCTAAAAAATTTCGCCAAAAACCGTTAGATTAAGATTAAATTCTACTTTATGTTGCCAAAAATTCGCTTTTTTTTTTTTTTTTTTCTTTTTTGTTAGTATGAAAGATTTCTTGGATTGATTTAATTTTTTTGCGTTGTATCTGATCAGATCTTGAAATTGTACATAAGAGACGGGTACTATATATTTAGGCAAAATTACCATAATTTATTCAATTTGGTCAAATTAAATAACAAATTGCCCGATCCCGGGTCCAAGCGTGTATGAGACCTGGGGTACTATTACAGTACGGTAGTTACGATGCACAAAAATTGAATTTTAAGTTAAGATTCTTTCGGTTTATTTTTAACTATATACTTTTCAAACTTTAAAATAAGAGACGTATAATGCTACATTGCCGCCAAATAAAGGTTGATTTTAGGTGTGTAGATCATTTGATTTTTTAACATTTGATTATAAAATTTATCCAGGTGATCTGCGTGACGCCCAACCATGCAGTGACATACGAAAGATAAAGCTATGGCAAACGCACCAGAAGAATGGTTGAAAAAGCTATTTCCGATGGCATATTAATTATCCCGAATACAATGACCCTATTGTGATCGGCATTGGGGGTTTTGGGTATATTAATAACCTAAAAGCAATACTTCGTGAATATCCTAATCTAGAAGCTAACAGCATTCTAGCTTCATTGCTTGAATGGAGACAAATTGGGTCGCATTTACTTGGCGTAATATTCAGATGAAAAGAATGGTTAGAGTGTAAATACAAGTGGAGAGACGGTGAATTAACAGTTGCTCTTAAATGTCTTAGAGTTGACGCACACAAAAGGTAGACAAGTGATTTGTAATTTTTGAAGGCATCCAATAATGTTTGGATTGTTCGATTTAATTAAATTTTATTATTATAAAATAATTAAAAA